ACCCCTGCCCCCCTGACAGCCCCCACCCCCAAACTCCCAACCCATCCAACGCCCCCCTCCCTGTCCCCTGACCAGGGCCGGCTTTAAAGAGCCCAGGAATCGGGCTGCGCTTCGTCCGGGGTTGCGGGGCTTGGGGCCGGGCGTGCTCGGCCGGGGCTGGGCCGGCGCGCTCAGCCAGAACCAGGGCTGGCGCTGCTGGGTCCCAAGCCGGGCCGGAGGCAGGGCCGGGCTGAGGCGCTCAGCCGGAACCGGGGCCGGAGCCGCTGGGGCCCGAGCTGGGCCGGAGCCGCTGGGGCCCGAGCTGGGCCGGAGCCGCTGGGCGCCGCTCGGCCAGGGCCGTGCCTTCCCGGAGCTCTCCCTCCCCCCCCCCCCTCCCCGCCCCAGCTTACCTGCTGCTGCCTCCCACCTGCGCCTGCTTCTTTTCAGACTTCCCGCGAAGATCTGATTCGCGGGGAGGGGGAGGAGCAGGGGGCGGAGCGTTCAGGGGAGGAGAGGAGGGGGAAGACCGCTGCGGGGCTGGACAGTGTGGTAAGGCTGCAGGGGATGGGGGGAGCCGGGAAGGGGCTTTGGGTGCCCAGCGGCGCTTGGCCGTCGCTTTTCTGTCTATAAATAGCCGACCGGGTGGAAATCCCGGACATTTTTAGATTTTTTAAAATCCCCCCCGGCCGGCTATTTATAGACCGAAAAGCCGGACATGTCCGGGGAAATCCGGACATATGGTAGCCCTATCCTCTCTCCTCTCCTCTCCTCTCCTCTCCCCAACCAAATACAATGATTCTGTAGTGTAGTGGTTTGAGCATTGGCCTGCTAAACCCAGTGTTGTGAGTTCAGTCCTTGAGGGGGCTACTTAGGGATCTGGGGCAAAAATCAGTACTTGGTCCTGCTAATGAAGGCAGGGGGCTGGACTCGATGACCTTTCAGGGTCCCTTCCAGTTCTATGAGATAGGTATCTCTCCATATATTATAAACCAAGATTGACAGATAAGAGAAATGTAAACCCTGTCTCTGCTGACATCATGTAAGTTGATGGCACTCTATATGTGCCTCCCTTTCCAGCCAGTTGGCCTCTTTGCTGTCTCCACCCCTTCCTGTCCTTGATCCCAGTCCTTCTGCTCACTCAGTGCTTTTTGTTTGATGTGTTTTGGGGGGAGGGGTTTTCCTATTGCATGTAAGATCGTTGGATCAGGCACCATCTTTTCCTGTGTTCTCTACAAACACACAAGGAATTATAATGCTACTCTTTAAACATATAAAGTATTTTAGTTTATGATCCGGTATTTTGAGATATCTACCTGATTATACTGAAGATTCTGTCTTGTGAAGTTCGTAATTGCAGAATGTAACCTCTAAGTTAAACAACATTACCGTGTGTAATGTCCTGCCCTTGTAAAATATAGTATAAAGACTGCATTGTTTTAAAGCAGCTCTACTTCAAAGGGAAAACGGTCTACAAATATTCTGTGAATTGTGTGTGGCTTTTGTACTTTGAATATTGTACTTAATGCTAGCAGAAGTTAGAGGGTTTAAGAACTGGTTATGCAACATCTAAAGCCTGTGGTTGGTCTGATGAAGGAAAAGGGTTGGGTTGATTCAGATTGTCTCTTTACTATAGGTCTCTAACGCTAAGCTGCTATAGCAGTGAGTCAGGACAGCACAGAGCTTTCTGGACAGCCCCGTTTCTTAAAGAATACTAGAAATGGGGCGTGGGGGGACCTGCTAGGTCCCGCAGGCTTGCCTCTGCCCAGGCAGCATTGTACCTTATAGAACATTTTGTCATGCTTCTGGCTTCATGGTGTAATTTTACTCCCATTCTTTATTAAACTTGATTTCCAGAACTTTTAAGGTCACTAGATCAAGATGAAGCATTGCATGCTAGGATCAGTAGTCTGTGGGCCACACTTGTAAAATGGAGACACGGGTGGCTTGCAGATTAGCTATGTCCTTCTGGCAAGCTGTTGTGGTGTCCTTCCGTTAGACAGCTTTCACGGAACTGCTCTAAATAATCACTGAATTTTTCTGCTGTCTTTTCGCAAGGCTGACAATAGTTGGAACGTGGGTCTCAGGTTCTAAATAGGTGTACACTGTTTTTTCTCTTAGAAGCCGTAAGGATAGTTTAGAGAGCGAGAGCTCAGCAGCTATCATTCCTCACGAGCTAATCCGCACAAGACAGCTTGAGAGCGTGCACCTGAAATTCAACCAGGAGTCTGGAGCACTGATTCCACTTTGTCTAAGGTGAGAGGAGCTGGTTTCTTTCTGAGCTCTGCTTTAATGGCTGCAATTCTGCCTTGTGGCCTTCTTTCTTCATACAGATGATCCTATATAGATTTTTAAAAGACCAGAGCTGAGACACTTTGCCAAAAACATTAGAAACAGATGACACTATCCACAGACCTGAGGAAGAGCTCTGTGTAGCTCAAAAGCTTGTCTCTTTCACCAACAGAAGTTGGTCCAATGAAAAATATTACTTCATCCACCTTGTCTTTCTATTGTGCACATAAGTTCATCATGCCAAAATTGTTTCCCATGTTTTATGTTGGGGGTTGAAACAGCAGAGTTTTTTGATCAAACTAATGCTGCTAAGTATCTTATCAAATTAAGGGATGGCTCCTACGGTCCTGTCACATAAATCCCTTAAGACATTAACTTTAACTTGTGCAGTTATAGGACAAACATTTGCCATCAGTTGTGCACACAGTTTTGTATATGCAAATTCTGTCATTGGTATCCCTAAATCCACATGTTGCACTGCACTTATACTGTAAAGTCTGTATCTTGAGAAGTTGCACCTAAGGAGGGGATCAGGGTTTTGACCAGTCAGTGACCTGTCTAAATCTCCAGAAAATTCAGCTAGTGACTTTTTTGTTTAAATGTTTTTGACAGAAATTGTAAGAGAGTGCTGGTCTTTGAGTTTCAGAGTAAACTGAAGGCCACTAATTCTTATTGAGTTAACAATAATATTTGTTGACTACTTTTAAAATTAAAAATGCAATAAAGGATGCAGTAACTTGCCTCTAAACTCTTTTCTCTCAGATGTACTGGTCAGCCTGACATCACTAGATATTTATGATTTGAATTGTGCAACATCATAAATTAAGGACTTGTCTACCTGGGTACATCCAGGAAGGTTAATCCAAATGACGAAAAGTGTGAATTTGCAGAGGATTAGTTAAACCGCATTAAACACCTGTGTAAACACCCTCCTTCAGAATTAAGGTCACTTTAATTCTAATTAATAGCAGCCATGCAGGGATTTAATACGATTTAACTAATCCACTTCAAATTCACGCCTATTGTTAATTCAGATTATTTTTCCTGGATGTCCAGGAAAGATAGACTTGTGGCTAATGCACAGGGCTGGGAATAGGATCCGGATTCTATCACTAGTTGTTTACACCAGGTCACATGGGAAGTCACTTAACTTCCCTGTGCCTTAATTAGCTCCAGCTGTAAAATGGGGATAACATATTCACATCTCCCTGAGGCTGTGAACTTCAATGCCTTTGGTGTGACTTGAGATTCCCACACGGAAAGCACCGTCGCAATGAATTATTATTTATTATAGATGAACAAACATGTATCTCTTCTCCTAAACGTTTTATTTAACATGAGTCCACTGGCACAGACTAAATTTTATAAGTTACAAGGTAATGGATTAATATATAACATGAGCTATTAATTTGTAGAAGTTATTATCCTAGTGGGACTGCTTTGTGCCACCACAGAAGAGATGTGGATTCTGGACTCGGTCCTGCTGGTGTTCTCTGAGCTGATGGAGTTGGGAGTACTGTGCCTTATGCATCAGTGGGAGGGACTGGTGCAAATGGGATACTAATAAAGTCCCAATCAGTCTTCCTCGGCTAGAAGCATTGTAATGTGGAAGTGGAGCCTTGGGATTGAGGGTGTGAGAGCACATGTGCACTTCCAGAGTTCCAGAAGAGACTTGTGACCCGCACTAAGGGACAAGGCTGTGAAAGTCCTTCGTACGTTCACTGAGAATTAGTGGTTACTGGGGTGTGACGTATTCCTAAGGGTGATCACAGATGCTCCAGTGGATATCTTGTGGTGGGTCTGTACTGACCTGCTTCTGACCTCCATTTATGTATGTGTGTTCTATTCTCCAGGGGCAGGCTGCTACATGGACGGCACTTTACATATAAAAGTATTACAGGGGATACAGCAATCACGTTTGTATCGACAGGAGTAGAAGGAGCCTTTGCTACAGAGGAGCATCCTTATGCAGCCCATGGGCCTTGGTTACAAGTAAGAGCCTCTTTTTTCTTCTTCCTCTTTGACCTCCTTCCTTTTCTGTTCCTTCAAAAAACAATCCCTGTGTACAGCTTTCTCTGGCCTACAAATCTTACAACAAAGCTAGACATCCTGCTGCAGCTTTCCTGACCATCAACCCCTGATTCTTATGATACTCTCAGTAGCTCCAGAAATGATTAAAAATGTAGAACTATTCCTCGTTAGGGGAATGGAATTTAAAATATAAAACGTTGGTTGGCAATTTCTAATTTCTTAAATGAATACAGCAATTTTCATCTCTCAGAGGCCCGGATCACTTTACAAATTCTACATATTTCGGTTACATTTTAAATTTAAAAGTTAAAATTTTTTTAAATTAAATTAAATTTTAAATTTATGGAGATATCCTATCTCCTAGAACGGACCTTGAAGGTCATCGAATCCAGCCCCCTGCCTTCACTAACAGGACCAAGTACTGATTTTGCCCCAGATCCCTAAGTAGCCCCCTCAAGGATTGAACTCACAACCCTGGGTTTAGTAGGCCAATGCTCAAACCACTGAGCTATCCCTCCCCCCCCACTGTAGTGGTTCCTGCCACTACAGTGCAAATACCTTAGGGGTGAAACCTAATAGGGGAATTCAGGGAGGCAGAATGGAGTTACCTAAACTAATCTTCTCTTTATCGTTCCAATTTTAGTATATGTGCTGCCGAAGCAAGCCAGGGCCATCAGGGTGAACAGCTTAATCTTTGGGAAAAGTTATAGGCTCTTTAGTGATTGGAAGTGTTCCGGAACCCTGTCTTACATTGTCCCCAAAACAGGGCACTAACCGCTGCACATCATCCTATAGCCCCCTCACCACCTCAAATCCCCACACAACTTCTTGCACCAGCACCCTGGATTTCCCTTGGAGTTTCCCCATCCACATGTTCACAAGGGTCAACCCTGGTTAGCTTAAGACCACCAGTGGTGGGATGTCATAGACCTTTCCTAGTCGTGTTTATGGCCAAGCAAAAATAAAATAGCTTTGGGCGAAAAGCTCCCTTTCTAAAGAATTAGACGCCTGGTGCACGCTCTCTCTGTTTATTGTACACGGTTCCTCCAAGGTGCACGTCTGTTTGAACACGATTTAGGATCCTACTGTTCCAGTATCACAATGAAGCTGGCTATGGCTAGTATTCAAGGCACCACAATGTATATGTTCACAAATGTGCAGGAAACCAGGCATGCAAATCTGTAACTCCTAAAGGAGCTGATTGGGTAGCACGGCGCTCTTACAATGATTAACAGGGAATGGTCGGTTTAAGAGGTGGGTCATTCACTGTTTGCTTGTGCTCACCAACACATGACACACAAGATCTTGTGACTGTGTTAACCCCAAACATAACAGTATTTGTTTGAGTTTACACCACGTCCTGAAATGTATTAATGTGTAGAGCTGCCAGGTAGCCTCTAAAGGGTGGAGAATGGCAATAATTATGCCATCATTCAGGCATATAACTAATATTAATCCTTCTGGAACGAGCTAATTCCCAAACGTCTGTTACTAGGACCTGCAGATTTACTGGGGTCACATGGGGTTGCTGGGAAGGAAGGAAGGTTTCTGGTGGCTGGGAGGTAGGGTGGGGCCCTTTGCAGGAGCAAGTCCCCACCTTGCTTCCTACACTGGGGAACTTCTTTGGTCTTCACTTCTGCTGGGACCTGCTCCCCTTGCTGCCGGCCACTGCCCTGTCCCTTAGTTTAGTGTCAGCAGAGGTAAGGTGGTCAGACTGCAGATAGGCAGGGAACACTGGCAGGCCCGCCAACATTGTGTAGAGCTGGTGGGGTGCCTGAGACTCTTGCCTTAATGGAAGGAAGGAAGGATCACTTTTTGAATGAACAGCAGCTGAGGGGTTGGGAGTGAAGATGCGAGGTCCTAAAGACAAGTCCATTGGTTTCAGCCTAAGGGGCAAGAGAAGTTGTGGTATGCAAGAGATATAGTGGCAGTTTCCAAATTGGATTTCTCCTCTTAGCTTTTGGAGTAGCAGGGCTTGAGAGCACTGGTGTCATCAAAGTAAATCCTGGGGGGGAATCCTCGCATCACGCTGCCAAGACCTCAGTCACACAAAGGCATTGACGGGCTCCAGAGGGGGTAGGTCCGTGGCTGAAAGCAGATCACTGTGGTGTGACGGCTTGTTGTGAAGGAGTATAAACTGGGGGGTTGTGGAGAGGAAGGGAAGCAGCAAGCCTCCCCTGATGGTGACTTTTTTCCATACCATGGGGAAGGAACAGTTGATATAAGTCCAGGGCCGGCTCTGGCTTTCTGGCCGCCCCAAGCAAAAAAAAAAAAGGGGTCGGCCAGAACGGCAAAGCAAAAAAAAAACTGGAGCGCAGGTGCAGGGGGACCGGCTAGTGGCAGGGAGGGGAAGGGAGCGGGCAGGAGAGAGAGAGAAGGGGGATGGCCAGGGCTACAGCGGGGGCGCTGCCACGCGGCCCCTCCCACTGCGCCGCCGCCTGCTGGGAGGGCTCCACTCCGGTCAGCGAAGAAGAAAGGATGAGGACTGCCCTGCCGGGCTTGCTGCAGGGCGCTCCCGTCCTCCACGCCGCTGCCCCCTACAGGGCGGCCAGAGCGGAACAAAAAAAAAAAGCGGCCGTGCCGCCCTAGGATTGGGCGGAATGCCGCCTCGAACAATCTGCCATCCCCCAAGCACCAGCTTGCTCGGCTGGTGCCTGGAGCTGGCCCTGTATAAGTCGTCCTTCCAGCTCAGGTTTAAGGCATAGTAGGGGAGGAGTACATAGGGAAGCTTGCCCTGCTGCTGTCCACACTCTGGGGATGATTAGGTTATTTCATTCTCCCGGAGCGGTCAAACTGGAACCTTTCCCAAACACTTGGCATATTTTTCCTGAAAGTAACTTTTTAATTATTTATAAAAGCTAAATTCTCATAAAGGTCTATCATGTCAGGCTGGGTTATTTCTTAGCTTCTTCCACTCTCTTGTATTATTGAATACAAAAATTACTTTGATTCACAAAAGTACAGACGTATTCCTGAAGTCCTGCTTGTTAACACTAGAGATTTCGGCTATGTGTTAGCTACTGTGCCAGTCTCTAACATTGCGTGTGACCAAAGACTTCCACAAGGCTTTTTGGCCCTTCCCCTTTCACCTTGGCTGTCCCAAGGCAACAGCAACAACAACCTGACCATAATGCTGAGCAAAACCTCTCTTCCCCCTCTGGGGAGAGTAAATGCTCCGGGTGAGCAAAGAAAAGATAAGGAAGAGGTGCCCATCCTGACTGCCAGGGTTAGAGAGTTAAGGCTGGTAATTCCCACCGGCTTCAACACAATTAATATGGGATGGTGTTAATATATATTAAAGGTTCTTGGGACAAATTGTCTGGATGTGCTGAACCTCTCTTTGGAAATCTCACTTGTCTATCTTTAAATCTGCTCAAGGTGAGTGAGAGTGACATATGCTCCCCCCCTCTTTACTGGAGTACACCTCTACCTCGATATAACGCTGTCCTCGGGAGCCAAAAAATCTTACCGCGTTATAGATGAAACTGCATTATATTGAGCTTGCTTCAATCCACCGGAGTGCGCAGAGCCGCCCCCTCCTCCCCCCCCCCCCCCGGGAACACTGCTTTACCGCATTATATCCAAATTCCTGTTATATTGGGTCACGTTGTATTGAGGTAGCGGTGTATGTTTAGACAGTATGTGCGGAGATTCACTGTTGAAATTAATCTGTCCCAATAAAGTTCGCCCGAACCTTTAATACATATTAATGTTATCCTAGGATAGCTTGTGTCAAAGCTAGTCAACATGCATGCATCGGCCGTTGGGAATTACCATCCTCAGCTCTCAAACGCTGGGAGTCAGGACTTGCTTATGCAAAACGTTTCAGCTTTACCGTGGCATTCCCTACCTGCCCAGCACAAGGCACACTTCTCCTGACCCCTGTCTTGCTTACTTGGAGCACTTTCTCTCTCCAGAGAGATGGTGAGTGATGGTGATAATTTCTGCTCCTGCTGCTCTGGGCAGTCATTGTTCTAGGGAGCCTTTGATCAAGCACACTGTAAATGTTACCCATCAGCGTTTGCTGCAGTACCTGTTAAACATACAAGCCAATCAACGTAGTACATTTAAAAAAACACTATGGTAAAAATGTCCATTAGGTTGCACAGTCAAGCACCCCGAAGTTAGGAATTGCCTGAAGGAAGACTGCCTGTACAACCTTAATTTGGCTCCCTTATGCATGTACGTTGATACAATCTCTAATTACATGATCAGGTTTTCTCCACTGGGCCCCGTCTCACTCGCTGCACCGTGTGGACCAGGCTCTGGGAATGAAGTAAGGCTGTGTAGTGAATGCAGCTGTTTTCTGTAGGACCTGTGCAGCATTTGTTTCCACAAGTCGGAAGGCGTGTAGTGAATGAAGCAGGGGATTGCAGGCGGGGAGAGAGGATGGTCTCATGGTGAAGGCAGATGAGCACTGCCCTGGAGAATTGGATTCTATCCCTGCCTCTGCCAAAGACTTCCTGTGTGGTGCTGGGCGAGTCACTTAAACTAAAACCTTCACATGTGGTCACTAATTGTATGTTCCTAATTTTCTGGCTACCTATCTTGGGATCTGATTTGCAAAAGCACTCAGCATCCCAACCTGCACCTGAGGTCCATGGGAGCTGTCCTCTGAATATTCAAAGTGCTATATAATGCTAAGTTCTTTGGAAAATCTGGTCCTAAGAGAGTCTGAAGTTGGGCACCCAAAATTAGTGGACACTTCTGAGAATTTTGGCCTTAGTAACTCTATGCTTCAGTTTCTCATCTGTAAAAGGGGGAATATCAACACTGCTCTACTTCATAGGATCAATGCATCAGATGGTGAGGTGCTCCAATACTTTGGTGCTAGAGGCTATCTGCATATCTAAGAGAGAGATTCAGCGCAGGGTTTAGATGGTGTGCAATAAAAAATAAAGGGCCAGGCAACACACCAAACCAAAATGTTATGGTGGTTCTTTCTTTCAAAAGTTTACAAC